GTCGTAATTGTGTTTAATAAACCATGAGGTATTATAGTAATTTATACATATAACGACATATTAACTTAGATTATACTTTTAGTTAACGTAAAATTAAATTCCACCTATGGTCCGGTAATCATATCTGATAGATGTGACACCTCGCCTAGGTGGTGGCGACCCTTGCTACTATAGCTAGTCGTTATGCAAGTGGCAAACNGACCCTTGCTACTATAGCTAGTCGTTATGCAAGTGACAAACCACGTTGTTGTTACAGGCCGAACCAATATATAAAAAGTCCACTTGCAACCCTTGAAACATTATGTTGTTTTAGTCGTATAACTATAGTTTTTGTACTTTGGTAGGAGGAGAAGAACTGCGGTTAAGAAATGTCTAATGATAAAAATTGTAGCATACCCGCACTTCACTTACAGTCTATATTTTAAAGCGTTAGTACATTTCAAAATACTGTTCCAAAAGTTGTTATCAACTAGCCATTTTCTATTTTATAAACCAGTTAACATATATATATTGTCGTTAAAAAATTAATAAATATTTCTAAAATACGCATAGTATTTACTATAGGTTATTAATACCTATTGTATAATAATATGCTATTTTCAAAATACAAAATGGGTAATTATTTTGTTTCAATTATAAAATAGATTATAATTAAGCATTTATTATAATATCAGCGCTAAATTACATTTAATTACAATTTAATTCAGTAAAATATTACATTAAAAAATCTTAACTATACAGGGTGGCCCACCACTCACTGACAACTTAAATAACTTTTGATCCAGTTAATATTTTTAGCTGATTTTTTTTTTAAATAATAGTTATACGTTAGGTCCATAGCTATATCTCAATAATTAATTTTTTTACATTTTATTAAAAATATTAATTATTTTTAAATTTTAAATAAAATGTAAAAAAAAAATCTAAGATAGCTATTTTGTAGAGTAGAATTTAAGAAAAATTTTAGTAAAAAAATATCTTATTAATATTCAGTAGTAAATATTCTGTAGCGTTTTGAAGTTTGTGAAAATTTGAATTTTCATGTATTATTTTACGGTATTAAACATTGAAATACGTATTGAGAAAAGGACAGAAGAAAACGGCATCTTCTTTCTCGAGGTTGAGTAACAAGGGTGATCCTTGGGCAGGATAGATGTGTCCACGTGCATCAGTAAATCGTGGCTATCAACTAAATCCTGGTAGAAGTCTCTGACTCTGAGCAGGTATATGAAGGAGTCTAAGAAAAGTTAAAAATATATAAATATTGTAAAAATATTTCTACAGTATCGTTGTACTTACCAGTATCCATATAAACCAGACTGATTGCGTCACCATAATGAGGTTTTAATAAGTTGTAGTAATACTTGTACATTAGCGTCTTGCTAATTTCAAGCACTGCTAAACCAACGTATATAGGTTTAACAATCTTTACTATTTTCGTGTCCTTTATGACAGCGCACAATTTTTCACCGTATTTGATACAATCGTTGAAGGTTGGTTGGTTTACAAGATTGCTTAGACGTTCGGGACTGGAGATTAGCTCAATGCGGATGCGTTTCCGCATGATTTCCATGGTTTTCCCTATAAATCTAAATATTTATAGAATAACCCACAACTGCTTTAGCATTGAGCGTGCACTTACCAAAGAGGGCATTATTCATTAATTTGAAAAATGCTAATTCAAAAGCATTTTCCGGCTGTTT